TATCAAACTCTTTCCCCAGTGCGACGAACATTTGTTTTTCTCGGTTCCAGGTGTACACAACCACTAACCCCACGTAATGCGCATGCTCTCCGTTACGAATTTTCAAAATGGCGGACAAGCCAAAGAAAGAAAAAAACAAAGCGATTTTGCAATGAATACTCAACATAAACCCTCGTTAGAAAGGCGAATCCACGGAGGAAAGATACAAAACTGTCTGATACTGAGATCGATATGATATTAAAATCGATACCGAAAGCCCGTTTCCAACTTGCTAAGAAGCGCATTTAATTGCCTTCCGCCACGATCACTAGCTTTCTTGACAGCCTTCTGAAGACAGAATACTTTCTTTCTGAAGACTTCTAATGTGCGGCTATTGATTATTACACCTCTTATACCTGATTGCTCAAACACTTTGTTTACAATTGTTGAAAGGACCGACTCATGGTTCTACGTCTTCGTCTTTACATTGCTTTGAAATAGTATAGATTAGTAAGCTGAAACAAAAACTAATCAGGGATGTTAACGAAAAATCCAGCAAACAAGCTTAAAAAAGGCATTTATTTAGACTTCGTACTTCAAAGAACTTCACAAATCTTACTTGTTTATCTTGTAAGTAAACGATGGCAGACTAATTCCCGAAGCGCTTTCTGAGTTTCTCGATCCCTCTCCTACTGCTTTCACGCTTACAAAACAGGAAAAAATAAAAAGGAGGAGGATACAGCTGTTTTGAAACGCCATTTGACGAGGGTAAATCTGCTTTTTGTTCGACACTTTACATATCAAAACAAAGGAAATTTGTTCCTCTTTTTGATTCTGGCGGTACATTTTTAATTTGCGCCTGCGTAAAAGAGATATCGCCCGAGACCCTTCGCTCGGTCGTGTTTTGATCAAAAACGCCTTGTTAATTTCACGCAACCGCTCGGAGAAAAGGTAAAAATGACGAGGGAAAAACTTTACCTTCAAGTTAGAAAATTAGCGAAATAGAAAGCCACAATATTATAGTTTAATATTTCAGAGGTACATTGAGTGCTTTTTCCGTAGAGAATCCGCACAATGGTAAAACATTCGAAAATTACACTCGATTTGAGTGGGGTGTTGAAGTGGGCGTGGTCACTACATTCATTTTAAGACTATTTGTACCCCATGAGTTTGATATGGGATACTTATGTTGATGTCCATACTTAAATTAATAAATTTAAAAGATTATAATTTATTTAGTTTCATGTGCTGTTTTTGTTATTGTTGTTGCTTTTTTTTTTCTTTAATTCGCGGGTAATTTTTATTCCAGTTGTAATATGTAAACACCTAATTGGCATAACTATAACTTATCGTACTGTTTTTCATTGTTCGTGTATATGCATGCTGTCCTGGTCATTTCCTCTGTTCAGTCAAACTTGTTACTGAATAATTTGTTTTAATTTTTGTTTCCCTCCCGCCACGATTAGCTTCGCTATTTTGCGGGTAGGAATTGTTAGATATCTATTTTAATTGCTAAAATAAATAAATTTAGCTGTTGTTGTTGTTTGTAAACATGTACTCAAATGCTGCCTGTTGATTGGTCATGATTGATTGATCATGAATTATTAATGAATTTTACAATTTGATATTTATTCATATAAAAATCTGTCACGGTGGAATGTCTTTTTAACTTCTTTGGGACACCCCTATTCATGGACACCTCTATGCAGTTAATACAAACTTTGGCTCTGGAAAAATGTTCATTTAATTTATGTATCTATTACCTATTTTCTATTATGATTAAAGGACACGTGTTGAAGGCCTAAATTTTAATAACTGTCCTAAATGTAATAAAGTCCTAAATGTAATAGCATTTGGTCCTAAATGTAATAAGCCTTCAATACAATCGTTTAACTGTGCTGGTACATTGTTGTTATAGCGGATATTCACATTGAGATGTTAAGGTGGCAGCTGTTGCATTAAAGAATCCTCTGACCAAGTAATGGGCTCCTGCCAATATTCATGGCATATTGCGGGCTCGCCGATATTAATCAGCGTCTTTTTATTTGTTAGAGACGTAGGTCGAGATCTTTGTATCCATTACCTCTTAATGGTGATAACATTAACAGTTATTACATTTAGGCCTTCAACAACACCTCTATTCATGGGTAAAGGACATTAAGTCTGGCTTCCAAACAATAACATTTCAAAATAATTTGAAAGAGAGTGGGAACGAGAGGGGGGGCGCTTAAAATCTCCCATGTTACTTAGCGCTCCTGTTGTGGCGCGAAAAAGGAATATGGCAAATGATATCAAGTTGATACTTTGGCGAGCGTGTCAGTCGGAGAAGAGGTAAACAGTTCAGCATATGTATTGAAAAGTCTGTAATTTACTAATCTAGTCATACTAAAAGCAACTTAGTTTGGGTTTCTTCTGCCCCAGGAAACAAGAATAAAAAAAAATGAGCCATTTTGGTTGCAGTACACTAGTTATTAACTAATGACTTTAGCTAGGTGTCCTCCGTTAGCTAATCTACAGCTAAAAACATTGACACGGTAATAAACTTTTCATTCATTCATTCATTCATGCAGTTTGTCTTCCATATCGTTACAAACGTAATTTTTTTTAGAATTTTATGATTAGTAATGATTCAAATTTGACATGAATATCTTTCGTGATTGCACGGCAAAATCAGATATGGTAATTTTTTTCAAAAGAAAGTTCAAAGATCTTGGGTTAAGATTTATTTCTTATAAAATAATTCAAATAGTACGCGCGCTCTGATTGGCCATAAAACCGTTTTACATGAGCGTATGTAAACACGGCTTTCGTTCCTCTTTCATTTGTTATTTAATAAAAGAAATGTAAAATGGTGTCCGTGTTTACATAGCCTGATGTAAACACTTGGGAGGTTGGGAGAACACTCGATAAGCTGGAAACCACTCCGCTTCGCGTCGTGGTTTCCTACACTTATCTCGTGTTCTCCCAACCTCCCGCGTGTTTACATCAGGCTATGTAAACACGGAAACCATTTTACATTTCTTCAGTGTTTAGTGAAAAAAAACTTCCTTAAAATGGCCTGTACCAACCTGACCAGTGATTTGGGTATTTCAGGTACATATGTACCTTGCAAGGTTGTTTTCTCACAAGTTTACGGTAAATTCGTGTCACAATACGCAGCAAATTATGTCGCATTTCTTGAATTCAAGTTATTTTGTATTTAACAAATAGAGAAGCCTTGATTGTGCTCTGTTCTGTTATAAAGCACGCAGGAAGCGGCTAGAGCACGAAAGAAGTGTAGGGGGAAACACGAGACGTAGTCGAGTGTTTCTCCCTACTTCTTGAGTGCTCTAGCCGCTTCGTAAATGCTTTACAACAGATATTCTTACAAAGTGGTTTTCCCCTTGAGGATTTTCGTCTCTGCTCACATTATAATAACGTAAATTATGGCGCCTGGCCTTTTTAAAAACCTTTGTTTGGTTCTTCTGTTGCTACTTACCGGCTCGCTTGTTCCGAAATTTCACTTTCAATTAACGAAAAAAAGCCAGAGAGAAGTTCCGGAAAAGGTCAAACATAGTACCATTTGACACATAGCGTGACATCTTTAGCTCTGCTCTATGCGCTATACTCTCATAGAGCACGCTCTTCCTACCAATGACAGCACGCGTTATATCCGAACTTTATTATAAATTGACATAAGTCAGCAACTTTGAAATTCAGATTTTTGGTATGAACTTTTTTTACTATTTATGGTATTTTGGTACCTCATGAGGAAAAAATATTGAGTATATTAGTGTCCCACCCTCCCTCCCCTTCTCCCCCCTCCCTCCCCCTTCTCCCCCCTCCTTGTGGGGCTGAATTATGTGATGAACATGGCCAAGACGAATACTTTTTTGGGACTAAAATCACGCAGAAAAATTGATGAATACATTTTTGTAATCTAAATCACATACTCTATTGAGGAAGAAGTAACTTTCAAGCTCAGAAAATAATGAGTACTACAAGAGTCTCTTTAGTTGGTGATCATTTCCTTTATTCTCATGACCTTAATGTTTGATTCAGAGGTGATATTGTAAGGAGAAACTAGATGCTAGTCACTCCTACAGGATTAATTGGTGTATTTTCCTTGACCCAATCATGTTCTAGAAATACTCGTGGTTTTCTGAGTTTCTGAAAAAAATATCCAAGTAGAATAACTATAAAGAGAATTGTTATAGTGGTAATCAATTGTTTAACAGATATAGAATTGTCCTCACATCTGTGGTGCTTCCTGTCCTGAGGGATTTTGTTTTGTTGCTTTGTCGCAAGTGATCATGTTTGATGCAAGTTGCAATGATATTCTTGCAACATTAAATTTTGGCAAGAAACTTAGTTTTTCTAACACACTGGATGGGATTGGTTTGTTTATCTGAGCTTTGTGCATTGTTTGATGAATATTTATTTATTGGTCAGTGCAGACCCTTGCATGAGTCTCAATAACTATTTCCATAAGTGGCTGCTGATAGTGTAATAGGTAGCTGTACCCAGAAAGGGGCCTTAGTCTATTAGCCCCTAAGAGTGACTAGCATCTAATTTCTCCTAACTATATGACCCCTGAATCAAACATGAAAGTAATGAGAATAAAGGAGATGATCACCAACTGAAGCAGCTCTTGATTGTTAAACACTCCTTGTCGGCCTCTTTGGAAATGTATAAAGAACAGTATAGAGAATATGTATGATAACATTGAGGTGTAAGGGGCTAAGACCTAGACCCAAACAGGACAGCCTGCTTGCAAACTAAACTGAGTGTAGCTAGAGGTCTTATAGGCAGCCTAGAGAACTAATAATTGGCTTTGATAAAACTGCTACCTTTGTCTCATCTTTTGATTGCCTTTTATTGTTTTACAGAATGTGAGATTGATTGTATAGCATGGAGTGAAGATTCCTTGTTTCTTGCCATTGGTGAAAGGTACATTTACTTGATTCAAAGGACATACAGTTATTTTTTGCCATATGCCGATTAAGGTGTGCTACATAAATGAAATTTCCATTTGCCAAGGTTTATGATTGAGGATTGGGAAGCAAAGCTTGTGTCTCTTTCAACAAATTTATTACTTGTCCGATGACCTTCTGGAAAGTTGTAAAATTGACGCTGACAGGATAGTGAAGTCCAAGGTTTAAAAGTAATACACTGGAAGGCTGCTGTAATTCAGTCGTATTAAGAACGCTTCGAATGGCTTTCAAAACCTCCCCAGCAAGGAAGTCGAGACTATCGTTTTTCGTCCTGCTCTGTTGCTCGGTAATTATTGGATAGAGCCAATTATAACTGTTTTTGCATTTACAGTAGAGCTTTCTACATAGGGCCCGAGAGCTGATTGACTGATACAGGCGAACCCCTAATGAATCACCGTACACCCAGAGAGTTCCAGAAGAGATGTAATTTGCTGGTAGAGACCAGTTGTATGATTCTGTAAGAAGGCAAATATTCAATGAAGTGAGGAATTCTTTAATTATTTACAATACGCTTTATGTTTAGGTCTTACTATCAAAACTAATTACAAACCATTGCCGGCAAAATAAATATGTTTGCTTGTTCTTCTAATTTGACTTGGCCAATGACAGGTCAGTTTTTACCTTCAAGGTATGGCCGCCATTTGTCATTCCTCCACCGACCAAATCCATCCCACAACTTATTACATGTGGAAGAACACGATTCTGGAGAATGAAGTTTGTCTGTACAGAACAAAGATGCAAAAAAAAAAATGATTAGAATTTTCAGTTATATACGATGTTTTCGAAGAAATCCGAGATTCCTTTGATTTTCCTTTACTTTACCACGTGACTGGTCCAGAAAACTCACGCCACTTTCTCAACCAATCAGATTTAAAGCAAAAACTAATCGTAGATTGGTCACATGTGTTTCCCGCGCTTGACGATGTTTGTGTGTTTTCACTTTGAGCACTCATTGGCTGCTCATGAATATTGCCTTTCATTTGATTGACCGTTTTGATTATATTGATATTGGTTTACGACACTCCATCGGAAAGCGCTCTAAGCGAAAAATTTACTCGTACGGCGCTTTCGCGGCAAACGCTGCCAGGTTATTACACACCGGCTAATGGCAATTTTTTTTTTCCTTCTACCAGGTTACTTACCACCTAATGAAAGGTTCGTCTCTGCCTTTGTTACTTTTATCCCCATAGGCCTTCCGCTCTGAAGGGGCTGTACCAAGTAGTCATCCAGGGGGCCTAGAAGACCCTCCCGCTGAAATTTCCCTTGAGCGATGCCCCTAATAAACCAGTCACGTGGTGGATCCCTGAATCCGTCACACAGACTATAATCCAGATAAATAAACAGCTGATAGATACCAGGCTCCATGATAAGAAACAGAGCTTGATAAGTTCCATTATTGTGATCAAAAAGAGTCGCCGCAATGTTTTCTGGACCGCGTACGTAGACCCTCCAGGTGTCTCCACCAATGACTTTCGTTACATTATCCGACGTTTTTGATTGGATGAAAATCTTACTATACTCTCCCGCAGGCCTGATGTCCTGAAATATTATCTCACTTGTAGAGGCATTGGTTCTGTTAGGTTTTTCCCAGCCAGCCTTCACTTTTCCCCAGGCCATATTGTCATGACATGGATTGATTATGGCTTGCCAGTCCATGCGTGCTCGGCGCTGACGCACCCACTCTCGACGGAAATCATCGTATTTATTCGCTTGGTTCCTTTTTTTTAAAGAAGGAATTGGCGGGAAGTCCATCAAATCGTCGCAGGCCTGATGTCCTGAAATATTATCTCACTTGTAGAGGCATTGGTTCTGTTAGGTTTTTCCCAGCCAGCCTTCACTTTTCCCCAGTCCATATTGTCATAACACGGATTGATCATAGCTTGCCAGTCCATGCGTGCTCGGCGCTGACGCACCCACTCTCGACGGAAATCGTCGTATTTATTCGCTTTGTTCGTTTTTGTTAAAGAAGGAAATGGCAGGTGGTCTATCAATGGAGTGAAAACAAGAGTGTATGACACCAGGAGGATAAAACAGAGGACGAGTGAATGAAGAATTCTAGATGAAACTGCGAAAAGAAAATATTGTCTTTTTAATTTGACTCATGTACTTTTTTGTTTAGACTCGTTTTCGTTTAATTTTGTACTGTTTTTGTTTGTTTGTTTGCATCAAGTTGCATTGTTACGGGGGCGACGGTATTCAGCCTTTTTAGAACCAATCCAGTTGATATCTTCTTCGTTATCAGTGGCTGTTGGAAGAAATTTCTAACACTCGTACAGTTGAAACTTTTTCAATTGCTTCTCTTAAGAGCTCCAAACAACTTGCTAGCTCGGGCTATAACGCAACAACAACAGGAAAGTGTCGGTTTTCAGCTTATAAAGGTGACAGTTAGAAAGCTGTCAATATTTGACCAACGTCATTATTTCTCACTTCACTAACAAATCACGTTGAGTTACGTGACCTCTGCGATACCAGTGCAGCGTTCTACCAACTGAGCTAACAAGCTAACTGGGAACTGGTCATCATGTTGGTCCCAAATAAACCCGTGAAGTCAGGCCTTATTCTCACTACTGCTCAAGTTCATTACTGCGAAGATCGCTTTCATATTCTTGTCTTTATCCGCAGTTCAAATATATGATTTTCAAATATTCACAGTCGTTTTATTTGTCACTTCACGGGTTGATTTGGGAACAACATGATGACTAGCTCCCAGTTGGCTTGTTAGCTTGGTTAGTAGAGCACTGCACCAGAAACGTAGAGGTCATGGGTTCATATCCCGTACAGGCCTGAATTTTTTCAAGCCTAATTTTCACTACTGCTAAAGTAATGTTCATTACTACGAAAATCGCTTTCATATTCACTTCTTTATCCGCAGTTCAAATATAGGACTTTCCTATATTTACAGTCGTTTTAAAACAAACAACAGTAACTTAACAATGTATGCACCTACAAGGAAAGTTTAAAATTAACATGATAAAGTTGATGATTAAGTGTGAGTTGCTCCCATTGAATGTGGATAGCTTTGTGATTTTAGGTTGGAAAGTTGTGGAAGCGTAATCCAAGATGCTAAAATACTCATCAGAACATGGAGTGCGACATTGTGGAGAATTATGTAAATGTATGAAAATGTGAGAGGTCCTATCACTGGCTAAGTGCTCACACACACGTGTGGATAAATGCCAGGACGTTTTGCCGACATAGCAGGCATTACAGCGCGCTCATAAAAACTTGTAAACCGCACACGTACAGCCCTGAAATAGTGGGCTTCTAATGCCTGCTATGTCGGCGAAATCCCCCGGTATTTATCCACACGTGTGCGTCAACTTAAAATCAAAGAAGCTGGCAGCCACTGGCCATCTAACCGATTTCCAACTTTCACAGTTTTTGGTTTTGGAGGGTCAATACGTTAATTAAGAATCCAGAGTGGTTCGGGCTCCCGGCTAATCCCTGGGGTATTAGAATCCCCCCAATCAAATCCCTGAGGTAAAAGACTGAAATAAGCTCAAAAAATGCACTTCCAACTAATCTCTCTCACAATTACAAAATACAATGGATTTTAATGTTGTTATGAAAAATGCTTGTTTGAACCTTAAGAAAACAATTCCTTAAAGTTGGGGTAATTTGATACAACTGCCAATTTAGAGCAGTTAATCATTAACCGTGTCACGCAACTACTCCAAAGAAAGAAAAACTAGGGTTTTTTAATTGCAAATATCTCCCATGGGCAATATTGTATGTCGACAAACATACCATCACAGGAAATACCTATCTTAACGATACGTTTGGGAACAAAAAGAGGTTTGGCCTCTGTAAAAGATTCGTGATCACGTCCCTCTGAAATACATGACCCCTCTTTATGCAATTTTTTAACACAAATGTATGTATGTATGATACATCAGATATTACCGAATTGACTGATGGACGTTGGTAGTTGACAGCGACGTTTTCCGAATGTAATATACACAAATAAAGCACTTTATATACTTTATATAGTAAGGTTAAGTTTGTTGATCGTAACCCCCTATTGGTACACACGTAGGATCAAAGAGGCTATTCATATCAGACTTCATCCCAACAACATTAATAGCGATAGTGGAATCGAAATTACCCACGATCAAATAACACAACAGCCAATCAGTCAGGACCTATGAGGGAACACCATCTCCCAACCGGAATAATAATGAGGATCGAAATGCACCGACAGCAAGAACCAACGTGCTATAAATAGTGACGCGTAAACAATCGACCTCATCGCCCGACAAAGACTAGCAGTATTGCTGTCGGAACGTCGCGATCAACATCCAAAGTGACTCCATCGAAAGACAAACGAATAAAGTTCGTCTCCAATCTTCTACCACGATGAACTATAACCACATATTTCATTTCACTTTATATTCCTATCATAATTTTATTCAATGCGCCATAATTTTTTTTTTTTTTTGGAGGACTCCATCGAATTTTAGGTACATTACGGGACAGTTGTTCCTGTTACATTTAACCCTACCATACATAATTCAGAAAAAAACAAAACCAAAGAAACTGAGCTCTGAGGTTGGCGTCTACGTTTGTTTTGATCGACGGTAAAGCCTCTGAAACCATCAAAATAGAATTCGGCGTTCCAGAATGTTCCATTTTGGGGCACGCACTAATCAATCTCTGCGTGAATGATCTATCTGACCGCCTTGGACCTGTGAAATCGTACCAGCACGCTGATGACACTACCCTATATCATTATGCAAGACCCTTTGACTTGATGTCCTGTAAAAAGCAACTCCAATGAAAAAAAACCAAGGTAATGATGTTCTTAACTGAACGGCATGCCCGTGTTCACAGTCTCCAAGATTATCAGTCGCGTCTCAACGCAAATGGAACGAATCTTGAGAGGGTAAAGTCAACCAGACTCCTTGGATCAGAGCTACATGAGCACTTAAAATAGAACCGCGAGATTCTGTCTTAAACATTCTCATGTTACGGTACGCTTGCCGTACTCAGAAAAATGAAGCATTTCGCGCCCTTGTATGTAAGGAAACAATTGGCTGAATGTCTTGTTCTGTCAAGAATCGGTTATGATAACGTTTCACTTCATCAATTGCCAAATTATTTTAATTCATCGGCCGCAGCGTATCCAGCTAGTAACTGCCACTTTCGTTACAGGTAAATATGCAGACTTGTCAGATATCTTGAAATTGGTCTGGCTGCCTGTCAGACATAACATGAACTGGAACTTGTGCAAACTCGCTTACAAGGCGCTGATTTGTGAAAAATGGCCTCCATATCTCCCCTTGGAGCTGCGTGTTCACCAGCGCACTTTACGATCCTCATCAATACTCAATTTAGTCGTACCACAGGTTTCTGGAACCTTTCAAGGCTGTGCAGCAATGCAACAATGTTTATGTATAAAATGCATGGCAATTTTGTAATGATAGATTTTTTAACTAGTTTGTAGTAAGTGTGTAGCATAGAAGAGCCACCCCTCCGATGGATATGCTAATAAACCATTATTATTATCATTATTATTATTATTATTATTATTATTATTATTATTATTATAATTGAGATGTAAAAGATCTATCCAGATTCCGATTTCTGTAGAATAAGGCAGGGAGAGGTTTCTGAAAGTGTTGCTTTTAAAGATAAGGGGTCTCAATCGGACCATTTTTTCATTACCAGTCTCTTTTAACAGCATAAACACCTTTTTTACTTATGCTGAAGTCAAAGATTCCATAGTTAGGTTACTCACAAGAAGAAAGTTATCTGACAGTCACATTTACAGATCTTCTTGTACCGATAACAAGTTTCTAGTTCTCTTCCTTATTTGAAATCTCGTCTCCATCTCTTCTGCATTGTTGACGTATTGATCGTATATTCATCCTCCAAGGGGTTACTTACAACTCCATTCAGGAGATCGGCATTATTAAGGGTTGATAGCCTACTGAAATATCTAGCAATTTGAACAACTGAAAGTCATTCCTCCTTGATGAACAATTTTTCTCCATTTCCTTATCTAGGACGCTTCATTTTAGATGCTACATCAGCAGGATTTGCCTTGTTGCCGGTTCCGCCTTCTCCTTGTAAGAATATCTCCTGTAAAAATGACCGCACTCGTAGAGAAAATCTGGTAAACTTCTTTTCCTTCTTCAAAGCTCAACCCCTTCCAAAGATGGACTGTTTGCTGTTGTTGCAAGAGATTGTAAATTTGTAGACGGAGCACCACTAACGATTGCATCTAGCACATAATTTTACAGGTTTCTGCCCACTTTGCTTGGTTAAGTGGCGCCTAACATCGAGAGGTTACCCAAGATTTTTGAATTCCTGATAAATTTTTACGCACCTTTTGCAGAACCACAATTCTGAAGCCTTCCCAGTGATAGAAACTTGCCCACATTGTACGCTTTTCCAAGCTCTCAGACTCAAAGGAAAAGTTTTTCAAGTCTTGAATGCCAGACATGCTGTGCTTCTTTAAAATTTTGGAGAGAGTCCTGAATTTCTGTGTCGGTGGCGTAGCACCCTTTCATCCCTCCCTCCCCCCTCCCCCCTCCCCACACTATTCAATTGCAGCATTCGTGTCACCGGCGTGTTTTAGTCGTTTCCTTCTTTTATGAATCGCCTCATATGACTTTTAAGTGTGGCTTGACGGCGATCGCAAACATCTTTGCTGGCTTGGGGATCGCTGAAGTCGTACTGCAAGATTCTGATTCGAGTAAGCTTATGAAGGCTTGGCATCGTCAAAAGGACGCAAAAAGATATAAGATATGTTTTTTTAATCCAGTGCAAAGCAGAATTTTTTCGGATTGGCGGAATTCCTTTAATTGATGGTTACAGCCAATACCAGCTGAAAGAATTATAGCAAAATCTCGGATATTAACGATTGGATAGCGCACATCCCCAGGGCAACCCTTTAAGACGCTGCACTTTTATCGAGAACCTAGCCTACAACCAAGTACTCATGATTATGAACTTGGCCATAAAATTTTCCTTGGTTGGTTACCGAGAAACACAGAGAAAATGGTTTGGAATAAAAGGCAAGTCGTGGCACGTTTCTGTTTGGCGTCAAAAAGCACGCGGATGCTGAAGTTGAGGTAGAGTTCTAAGTCCGAGATGGTAATTCTAAAAACGCTACAGAGAAAAGTTTAAATTACTTTGATGGACTAAGGATGATTAGTGCACATTACACAAGCTTAAAAGGACATGTAATAAAATAAACCAATTATCATTATTTGGCGACACCATGAACGAAAGGGATTAGCTAGATTAAGTTGAGAGGAAGTCTTCACTCTTCCAGGCTATTTGATCGGTAAAGTTCTACAGGATTTTAAAAGTGGAAATATTCCAAAAATGTACACAATAAAACGAAAAAATAATTCAATTTAGTTTCAAAGGCTTTTGAATAAATAGTAGTTTAGGTTGTTTGATGATTTGGAGCTTTACCTCGACAGTAACAACAAGCTTAGAGGTGAAATTGCTCATAGGATATGTCTTTCTTGGCCGAGACAAGAGGCTACGTCTTCTTCTCCACTTCTTTGATAAATGTGCGCAAATTTGGTCTGCCGTGGTATCCGTCCTACATGCTTGTTGCTTAAAAGTTCAATTATACTAACCTTAGTAAAGCTTTCTGACGATCTGAAAACGTAGGGTGTTACAACAATGCGTTTATTAACCTGTCACTGCTAAGCCTTGGAGACCGTACTTGAATCAGACTAATCTTGCGGTATGACTTAGCGATCCCCAAGTCAGCACAGATGCTTGCTATCGCCGTTAAGCCACACTTAAAGTAAAAGTAAAGTCACATGAAGCGATTTATCATAAAAAGGATGAGAAAACGACATAAACAACGCTAGCGACATGTATGAAGCCTTCTATTGAATACCAGAAGGGGGAAAACGGGGAGGGGGTTGAAAGGGTGCTACACCACTGTTGCAAAGGCTCTTTCCAAAATATGAAGAAGTAAAGCATGGCTGGCATAAAAGCTTTCAACAGCTTTTCCTTTGAATAGTTTGGGATTGGAAAGTGTAAAATGTGGTAAAAGGCATTTTGTTTTACTGAGACAGCCTCAAAATACAGTTCTCCACAAGTTCCAACAGAAAAAATATGTACTTACTGACTGAGTGGGAGGGCCTGACGGAAAATATTCGGGTCGAGGTCATGACGTACGGACTGAGCACAGCGACGTCCGTGTGCCATGACCTAGTGCCAAATATCTTCCTATCTGGCTCAATCAAACTCAGTCAATCAGCATTTTATTATATGACCACTAAATGTTGAAAATTTCAAAAATTTTGTTTTAACCTAAATAGGACGCGATAGACGGGCGCACGCGGGAAACCACGAAAAAACGATTCTACAATACAAACCTATCCCTTGTTTTCTCGAGTCAGAGCCATAAAGACACAAAATTCTATGAAAACGCGACTCTTTTTATTATTTTCATTTTACCTTTACCACTCAGTTTTGCAGCAAAGCTGAGTGAGTGTAGAGCCGGGACGGCTTTTTCCGGACCTGCTCACCTCACGCTATGGGATTGCGCGTGCAGGGCCGTACGGTTATATGATTAAAGTACTTCCCCCACTTAGCCAGCCATCTAAGGATGTTGGAAGATTTCGTGTGGCCGCATCTCAGGCCCAAGTTGCCATAACTTGTCAACAGGGACCTTAAATAACCCACGCACTTTTTGTAAAGAGAAGGGAACGTAGTTCACGCTGTTGTGGTCTGGCCTTGATTCCGATATCGAGGGCACTTGCAACACTTCCTTCCAGAACTTGCAAACTCCTCAACGCAGTCCAGCCAAAGACCCCGCAAAGTGTTATAATTAACTCAGAATAGCCTCGGAAGAGGAAAGTTAATATAGACAACTCTACTCTACTCTACACGATTAAATGTAACAGGAAAAACTGTCCCGTAATTTACCTAAAATTCGATGGAGTCATCTCCAAAGCTTCCCATAGGAGAAAAAAATATTGGCACATTGAGTAAAGTTATAACAGGTATATAAAGTGTTTCATGTGTGTAAATTACATTTGGAAAACGTCGCTGTCAACTGCCGACGTCCATTACTCAATTCGGTAATGTTTAATATATGATATCTACATACATTTATGAATCATTTTTTCTAATAGAATGTGTCAGCGTTAGAATTTCTATGATAAGTGACGCCTTACATCAGCAGCTATACATGTGTTGTTTTTAGACAGTAGTGCCACAAAAGTTACCGTTGGCGAACCCATTCTCAAATTGAAATTCAGTGAATAAACATCAGTTTATGACCACTTTCATTCAGCATCAAGATATATTCTGTTTTCTCAGGTAGGGTAAAAACCGTTCACGAGGTATTTGAATCTTACTGTTGCAAGATTAGTACTGGAATATGAGAACAAATTCCATGTTGCTATGATTTCTTCTAATAACAACGAACGGTGAATTTGATTATTCATCTCATTAGCTTCCTGTGATCATTAGATTTGGAAAGAGATTCAACCCTTTAAGGCTCAAATTCTATGCTTGAAAAAACTCTGCAAATCTGATTATGTTATAATTGTAGATACTTCACAGAAAACTCGGGTAATAATCATAGGTTGCCAAATATTCCTTCTCGGTCAATCCATCAAGGTGCCTTTTTATTTTGGAACAAATAAACAACTGTTTTGCTATGGGAAGTGGATTTTATTTCACTGGAATCTGGCATCAGCAGAAACTGGCGCTGATGAAAATTAAGAACTTTTGGCCCTCCAGCAATAAAACATAACTACCAAACCGATGCGTGCCAGCCAATCACAATGAAGAAAACTTCGTTAGTGAAGGTTTAATAATTTGAACAATATCTAGACTTTAGAAAGTTAAAATCTTGCTTAATATGTATCAATAGGCAGCATATACGTGCTCTTACATTAAAGTTTTCATTCCCAGGTTTCTGGTATTTCGTCACTAACACAATTAACGGGTATAAAAGGCATTACATCATTGATTTTGGTAATTGGCTTGAATTTGGAAAATAAGTCATAGATCTGAATTTACCGAAAGGTATTACAATTTCAGTGATGGAGAATATTTTTAGCATGGATGGTTTCATTACTCTGACTTTTTACAGTTCATTGAAGATAACTGAACAATGAAATGGCTTCCTACGAAATTGCGCAACAACGTGCATATTCTACCATTCTGAAAAAATAACTTATACCCTATATATTATAAACGAATGATCACAAAACGTAACACATCAAGCCAGGTTTCTCCAAACGTTCATTTCACGTGCAATATCTCCGCCGCGGACATCATCGCTAAAAATCATCGCTCAAAGGACAGCTGCGCATATTCAAAGAGCAAGAAAATCGCACCTGTAAGTAGAGGAGTCAGATTGTTACACTTCATTCAATAAGTGGCACAAAAGCGTTGATAACTACCACAACCGCTAAACTAGCTTTTCACGTTTTTTTACAGAGGAGTATCTATGAACGAAACGTCCTCTAGTGCCCTCGTCTATTGATTAATTATTTGTTGGACAAAAACGCCAGTGTCCCAAATAAACGTTTGCTTTATTAAACCTTGAATAACAATGGAGGCTAAAAATCTACCAGGCCATTAAAAACTTTATAAATCAACCGACGCCTTCTAAGCAAGGAGACTACACTGTGAAAGAAGAACCAAACTACTCCGAACAACCAGAGTCTGGTTGTTCGGGGTAGTTTGGTTGAACCAAATCTCCAAATATAACTCGGCCCAATAAATTACATGTCTCATATCGGCCATGTCAGACACAAGCGGGCCAAAAATCTTTGCGTGCCTGGTCAAGCTAAATGTAGAGACTTTCATTTTTTTTTTGTCAGCTGATACATCTCCCAATTCTTCTCTTGCTATCATCGGTTCCTATTCTTTGATTTCTGTTAACCTTATAATTCTCTAAAAGCGTTTCTAAGGCATTAAACACTTTGTTTGGATAGTGAACAACATCATTTGCCAACGTACCCCCTGGATACGAATCTGTCATTGGATACACGTCTATAACCTCAAAACCCGCTTGACACATGGCTGACATGGCGTAGGCGCTGAATAGAAGAACTCGCTGAAAAAGAAGTAAAATAAGACAAAATAAGATGGCTCGAACAGAATTTCTAGTTGAACATACAACTGATGAAATGTTTGAATTTAAGACCGCTATAATTTTTTTGGTCATCAATACAGAGATTGCCATTCAATATGTACAAACCTGCGGTGTAAGGAATCTACTATCTGTTGGGTTGAATTTCTTTCCCTTGTGCTTACATAAAGCTGTCGTTGATTTCCAAATGATCTTGGCCTTATACTTTAGAACTTCTCTGCCTTGTAAGTCAACTTGTGTCTCTTTCAACAAATTTATTACTTGTCCGATGACCTTCTGGAAAGTTGTAAAATTGACGCTGACAGGATAGTGAAGTCCAAGGTTTAAAAGTAATACACTGGAAGGCTGCTGTAATTCAGTCGTATTAAGAACGCTTCGAATGGCTTTCAAAACCTCCCCAGCACGGAAGTCGAGACTATCGTTTCTCGTCCTGCTCTGTTGTGGGTTAGTTACTGGATAGAGCCAGCTATAACTGTTTTTGCATTTAAAATACAGCTTTCTACATAGGGCCCGAGAGCTGATTGACTGATACAGGCGAACCCCTAATGAATCACCGTACACCCAGAGAGTTCCAGAAGAGCTGTAATTTGCTGGTAAAGACCAGTTGTATGATTCTGTGAGACGACAAATATTCAATGAAGTGAGGAATTCTTTAATTATTTACAATACCAATGGTGGATCTAGAGGAAGGGCTTGGCGGATCCGCCCCCCACTTATTTTGGGTAAAAAAAAAAAAAGAATCGCAAAAAGAAGAAAAGCCCATAGGGCAAGCGACAATAAACAGCCCCCCATCCTTAGCTCAAGGTCTGGATCTGCCATTCAATACACTTTGCGTCTAAGTCTTACTATTAAAACTAATTACAAACTAGTGCCGGCAAAGTAAATTTATTTGCTTGTTCTTCCAATTTGACTTAGCCAATGACGGATGAGTTCTTACCTTCAAGGTATGGCCGCCATTTGTCATTCCTCCACCGACCAAATCCATCCCACAACTTATTACATGTGGAAGAACACGACTCTAGAGAATGAAGTTTGTCTGTACAGAAAAAAGATGCAAGAAAAAAATTAGAAATTAGACAGATTTAAATGTACGGCGCTTTCGCGGTAAACGCTGCCAGGTTATTACATACCGGCTAATGGAAAAATTGTGTTTTCCGTCTGCCAAGTTACTAACCATCTAATGAAAAGTTCGTCTCTGCCTTTGTTACGTTTATCTCCAAAGGCCTTCCGTTCTGAAGGGGCCGTAACAAGTAATCATCCAGAGGGCCTAGAAGACCCTCTCGCTGAAATTTCCCTTGAGCGTTGCCCTGAATAAACCAGTCAGGTGGTGGATCCTTGAATCCATCGCACAGACTGTAATCCAGATAAACCAACAACTGATAGATACCAGGCTCCATGATAAGAAACAGAGCTTCATAAGTTCCATTATTGTGATCAAAAAGAGTCGCCGCAATGTTTGCTGGACCACGTACGTAGACCCTCCAAGAGTCTCCACCAATGACTTTCGTTATATTATCCGACGTTTTTGATTGGATGAAAATCTTACTATATTCTCTCGCAGGCATGATGTCCTGAAATATTATCTCACTTGTAGAAGCATTGGTTCTGTTAGGTTTTTCCCAGCCAGCCTTCACTTTTCCCCAGGCCATATTGTCGTAACACGGATTGACTATGGCTTGCCAGTCCATGCGTGCTCGATGCTGACGCACCCACTCTCGACGGAAATCGTCGTATTTATTCGCTTGGTTCGTTTTTTTTAAAGAAGGAATTGGCAGGAAGTCCATCAAATTGTCGTATTTATTCGTTTTGTTCGTTTTTGTTAAAGAAGGAAATGGCAGGAAGTCCATCAAAGGAGTGAAAACAAGGGTGTATGACACCAGGAGGATAAAACAGAGGACGACTGACCTTATGGGAAAATGTTCAAAACAGCAAAAACGTTTCATTTGCGTTGTAAAACTTGATTTTTCAATAGTATGAAGAATTCCAGATGAAACTGCAAAGAAAATAAAAGTTCTTCTTAATTTAACTCATATAATCGTTTTGTTTAGATTCTTTTTTTCGTCTAGTTTGTACTGTTTTTGTTATTTGTGTTTGTTTGTGTGCTTGTTTGTCTCAAGTTGCATTGTTACGTGGGTGACGGTATTCAGCCTTTTTAGAACCAATCCAGTTGATTATCTTCTTCGTTATAAGTGGCGTGATAGCTAAGGTAGGAAAGAGGCTGGAGAGGAGGTGAAGCGGGTAAGGAAAGGGGAATTTTACCGCTTACCCTCATGTGAAACAACTTTAGCTTGGCCGGCGAAAGTGAAATGACCCACATCCTAATTAACTAAATGCGAAGGCCCTTATTGAGAGGCCGAATAAATCGTGATATTACAATACATATAGCCTCGGGACAGCATCTGTCGCCCCGATGTCTTGACTTTACCAGGGACCTTAAGCAGTGAGACGGAAACGCCGAGGAAGACGTCAATTAGAAAATGACTTAAGGAGACTCCATATGCTTTTTGTTCAACGTTGGTGAGCGCGCCAGCGTATAGTTTTTCGAGAAAATTTTTATGTTTCCGCTTTTCTAGGTCACTAAAAGCCATCTAAAGTGCGATGAGCAAGGTTCGGACTATTTATTGCTGTAGTAGTATTATCAATATGACTTTCGTCATTAAGCTAAGGCTTTAAATGTTTCTTTTCAACTAGAGTTGTAAATTCGATTCCTAGGTTGATACACGCGCATTCCATAAACACCAAACCAAAAAGGATCTTAAGAAGCTTAAGAATAATCTCGATTTTGGAAACGAGCATGTGGCAATTAAAGGAAACAAAGGAAAGGTAAAAAACGAGCGATAAATTTTACTTTGAGTAACGACTACGAGCTAGATAACATAATAACAAAGCAAGTTATTGCTTGCCAACGTTCGCGGGTCTTGATTACTTACGGAGGAATGGGGTTGTGTAACTGTTTCTAGGCAGAAAATGGAGCAGCGCTATTGGTGGAAATATGGTGACGAGAAAACAAGGATAGATTATGAAATTAGGAGATCCTCGCAGCTAAGAACACTACTGAAACGAGTAGTTGTAAATAGGACCTGAAAAAATTTCAGGCCCGTACGGGATTTGAACCCAAGACCTCTGCGATACCGGTGCAGCGCTCTACCAATTGAGCTAACAAGCCAACTGGAAGCTGGTCAATGAATTGGGTCCAAATAAACATCCAAGTGAATGAAGATTTTAGATATATGAAAATTCACATATTTGCACTGCGGTGGAAAGATGAAATTAGGAGATCCTCGCAGCTAAGAACACTACTGAAACGATCAAATCCCGTACGGGCCTGAAATTTTTTTTCAGGTCCTATTTACAACTACTCGTTTCAGTAGTGTTCTTAGCTGCGAGGATCTCCTAATTTCATCTTTCCACCACAGTGCAAATATGTGAATTTTCATATATCTAAAATCTTCAAGGATAGATTAGTTGAATGAAAAGCGCTCGTTGATACACACGCGGCACAAGCTTCAGCTGTGAGAAGGACTTTTAGAAATGGATAACTCGCTAAAATGGGTTCTTTTCATTAAAGTATGCGGTCAGATAACAAGCGATACGCTGTGGAAGTAACGTGAGGTATTTTTATTGAGAATTTGAGGTATTTTTTCATTCCTTAGAGCGGTCGTAAATATTGCCATACAAACTCTTATAATTCTGCTATGACTGTTATTGCGCAAGATGATCACTTCACAGCTGGAGCTTAGGCCGCCTGTGATTTGAAAGATAACTTTGTTGAAAAATATAATCAAACTGGCATAACTGTTAAAATTCATTCTAATCATGACGGTGTCTGAGCGAATATGATCATGCTGAAGTCCATCGCGGCTCGCTCATCATGGCGATCTCCGGTCATCACAGCAAGCCTCAGAAACTACATCGGCCGCCCTTCGAGTGAAACTCGTGTTTCTCCCTACACTTCTTTCGTGCTCTAGCCGCTTCCTGCGTGCTTTATAACAGAACAGAGCACAGCCAAGGCTTCTCTACTTGTTAAATAACAGTGCAAAGTTTACAACTCAATACCACGTATCTCTCTAGCTTTCATCCGCCAACATCTTGAAAACAACACAAAACAACGTGCCTCGAGATATTCGAACAGATCCACACTTCATTTCACACTGATACAGTTTAATGACGAAGAAACAATGGCGAAAATGGAGACGACTGTTTTCCACTAAGGCGGAGTTTGATTCAATACCAAAAGCGCTGAGTCGTACGATCTAATGAAATTCAAGCCGACGGAATCTGAAAAAAACTATCAATGCCGCTTACAGCTCCATCTCCTACAACACAGTGAAAACTGATGGCCTGAAAACTGGTTGACTGGTTAGCACCTCCGCTTCTGCTCGCAACTCCAAATATCTAGTTTTCACCGGATGATAAGCCTCGGAATGGAATCTTTCCGACTCCGACTCTTTCAAGCTTATGACTCCTCTCGCGCCCCGATTTTCGATTTTCGAAAATCAGGTTTCAAATCAGCGCTTCTACAATTCCGACTCCTTCGCCAGTGGAAACTAAACCTCACAGAATTCGCTTCCTCGCTAAAATTCGTTGAATCAGGTCTTGTGAATTATGCATAGAGTTGAGAAGATATGTAGCTTAAAGCGGGAAAGCACAGAAGCAAAGTACGAAGCGGCTCTTTTTTTTTCAAAATAGCACGTATAAACTCACCATACGCTCAGCAAGTGATGCTCTTGACTAGTCTCTCCAAGATTTAGCAAACGGAATGAGATTTTAAATTGCTCCTCCTTTCTACAACTTCGTCTCTATTAGTAATGAGTTTATGCTGTTATAGACCACAACGTTCTTGGGCGACAAACTTAACGTTTCAGCACACCATCAGTGTCAAAAAGACAAACCCACCAAACAATTGCTCTTATCCAGTATTGTACATGATTAAAGTGCCCAAGAAAGAGTAGTTTAGTATTATAACGCGATCGACTGACGTCACAATTCTATACAGTTAAGACCGGAAACAAATAACACGTGCTTAACACTAGTCTATGCAAGCGAGTTAGACTACGAGCAGTCCCTGATTTTTGGCGAAGTCCGGCGCGCGATCCAAAAAATGTCCGTGAAAAAAAGATATATAAGTTATATAAACCCTTTACACCCTAACATCAGTATGCATATTATCCATACTGTTCTATATGCATTTCTTAAGGTTCTGACAAGGAGAATTTGTTGAATGATTATGAGCCTTTTTAGTTGGTGATAATTTCCCCTGTCCTTGTGGCCTTTATGTTTGATCCAGGAGTGAATATTGTAACTAGAAATTGAAAGCTAGTCACTCTCAGGGATTAGAGCGTTAAATTACAGAAGCATAAGTTATACATTGGGACTCTAAGAGTTGGACTTTGCTCGGCTGAGTGATTTTTAGGCGTCAAATTTGAATCTCAATCAGGTGTGACCAAACAGCGTTTTCGAAAAGTTCTGTTTTCGTCCGTCGTCACGTACATGGGAAAAAAGCGTTTTTCTAGAGAGCGTTTTACAAAAGTTCCATTTTCAGTGATCGTTTACACAGGATACGTGGGGACGAAAGCCGTATCCTTATAGAAAAAGTTGCTTTGCGTGACTCAGGCAATTTTGGGTAAACTTTGAAACTACAAATGAGATTAATCCTTGATTGCAATTGCGAATTACTTATTTATCACGTAAAGGGCAAAGTGCTTGAGGGAATTGCATTCGCGCACGATGTCCACGCGATAAAGCCCTTTCAATGCCGCCACAAATGTCAAAACAAACGTAACTGACCAATAGATTCAATGAACATTTTATTTTCAAAATGAAAACAGATACTTGTTAACGGGGCCTCAGATATTGCTTGAGGTAGGCTGCCGGTCACTGTTGAAATAACTAAATGACCGGCAGTCGAACATTTTTCTAAAATTTAACAAACACATGATAGATAAGGCACAAAATTGTCGGAGCGTCATATAGATAATTCTACTAATTCATAATTCTTCAACCCCTGCCGTTTCACTGCTATCTTCTCAAACCCTTCCCGCACTCTCATACAGTTGATTTATATTGGGTTTACAGAGGTAAACACAGAAAAACACCACTATTATACAAGGTCCTCTCCCATGTTACTTTGCGCTCCTGTTGTGGCGCGAAAAAGGAATATGGCGGATGATAGTACCTGTGATTGGATGATAAAAATAGTAAAAGTTAATGACTTACATCTTAACTCCTTACACGTGAGTATGGTTAACCGCGTGTCTCGAAGCGGAACAATGAAATATCAATGTGAAAACACCGATGAGTCAAACAAGAAATTGCTACTGACATATTGAAGAGAAGGCAGAGTCTAGCTTGTTCAGCGAGGCTGTTCAGCGATATTCCGGCGATGAAAAAGTCATCCGCTGACTAGCTCCGCTGACTAAATTCATTTAGTCAGTTCACGCGCACGACCAGAGACTAGAGCCATTCGTGTATTTCACCGCAGACAGTAATAGCTCCGACTCAATTTTAATAATTTTTTTTCAATAATTTTTAAATAAATTTTTAAACAGTTTTTGAAAAAAAAAATTAAAACTAAACTACTGAGCAGCGTTGTGCGAACAGTAGTTTTAAAACAGATGAAGAGCCCGATGAATGGCTTTGTCCTTCATGTGAACAATAACCTAGAAAATCAGTTTTCCATGAAAAAAAACTCCCTCGATTGTGGCCAAGCCATATTTCTCCAGCAGAGCATAAACATCGGTCGCAGCGTCACGCAACATTGCGTGATTTTCCAAACGTGAGATGC